CGTGGACAAATATATATGTTTAAAATACGGTATTAAATAGTCTAGGGAGGTAATAGGTCCTTGTGAAAGTTTAGTATCGCAATGGCAAATCCGACCAAAGTTAGGATATTTTTCAGACCCTTTTCCCTAAAAAGAACGATGATGATTACCTTTTGAATCGTGGCCTATATACAGTGGAAATTTTGGCAATAAAAAAGCTTAGCCTCAATATAGTAGTAGAACACAACTGTTCATCAAAAAGTAAGTTTACTGTACAATAATTTGGACACATTTTTATCATTATTTACCACATAAAGGTAATAAAATTTTGAATCATGTATTTTATATTTATTTATTTATTTATTTATTTATTTATTTATTGTCATTTAGAAAAGATAAGTTACTTAGTTTTAGATAAATAATAATATACTCTCCTCCGGGCCTATAATAATTGTCTATTATATTATTTTGGGATATTCAATAATATTGTCTATTTTATAAAATTAATCGATAAATTATCACTTAATTGCTAATTTATCTTTATAATTAATTATATAGTCATTTTTCTATTACATTTTTCAAGACATTGTATTTATTATATTCAAAGTGTGATATAGTAAAATTACCATTCTATTTATAATTTCTTAAGAAATGTGCAAAGTCAATAATAAATGAGTATTGTTGGACAAATGAAATATGTTACCATCAGTAATATACTATATATATATATATATGTGTGTGTGTTTAGTTTGAAGTGAAATTATTGAGTTATGAAATTTTTTGTAAATAGAATTATAGCGTTACACTAAATTTAGCTAAAGCTCAGAGAACATTTTAATGGAAGAACATAGTATAATGGAGCCCATTAATCATATTTTAGCCTTTTTAATTAAAAAAAAGAGACTAACATTTAGTGATAAAATCAGAATTTTTATTAATGTATTTTAAAATTGTCTATGTGTAAATTCACGAAAAATTGAAATTATTATCTCTTATTCCTCGTGTCAAACATCTTTAAATATTTAGCTAGATGACACCAACCATGTGTCACAATTAACAAGTTTCGTTACTACACAGAGAATGCTTCAGTTACGGATTCTCTGTTGTGGTTCTGCTTTTCCATAATAATCATATTCATCAATCAGCATCTTCTTCTTCAACTTTTTTTCTTCTGATAATTATTGCTTAATCATATGGCAATTAACACTAATTTATTCATAATCCAAACCAATTATTCTTCATTCCTTTCCCATTAATTAAAAAGATTAATTTAATGTGCCTTTGTTTCCCCACCACTTCCCTCAATTCCTGCCCTATATGTTTCATTTCATGTTAACAAATATTACTACTTTCAATCCCTCTTTGTCTTGTCTTTCTTGTTTCTTTCCCTCTCATATTTCATTCTTTTTAAACCCCATTATTCCTTAAACCCATTATATATACAAATAACTCTATCACAAATCTAAAATTCAAAACTCGATATTTTTGTCTTGATTATTAGTAAAAGAGAGGCAGAGATATGGGCATTTGTAATGTTCATTTTCTTTCGCCTTCTCTCTGGCTCTTCTTCTTCGTGATGATTACTGTAATTATGAATTTGAGCTACGCAGAAGAAAATGCTCAATCGCCTCCACCAGCTTTACCACCGTATTACAGATCTAGAGGTTCGCCTTTTAGGCCGAGCATAGCAATAGTAGTAGCAATACTCACAACGATTTTCTCAATCGTATTTATGTTGCTATTATACGCAAAACACTGTAAGAGGGAAGGTACATTTGGTACCACGTCCGGAGGATTGACGAACCTGCATTCGTCAAGCTTCCGGAAAAACTCTGGTATTGATCGGACGGTGATTGAGTCTTTGCCTGTATTTCGATTTGGATCTCTTAGAGGTCAAAAAGCGGAAGGACTTGAATGTGCGGTTTGTTTGAATAAATTTGAATCGAGTGAAATTCTTCGATTGTTACCTAAATGTAAACACGCATTTCATATTGAGTGTGTTGATACTTGGCTTGATGCTCATTCTACTTGTCCTCTTTGTCGATATCAAGTTGACCCAGAAGATATTCTTCTAATTTCACATGAAAATGAGAGAAAATCTGCTTCTTCTTCCATATGTTCATCCTCTCCGGTGAAGGAAAAAGAAAAAGAAAAAGAAAAACAGAGGATTTATTCTTCATCTTCTGGAAGACATTCTTCCGCCGGAGAAAGAGGAACTTCATCATCGTCTTTGCAGATAATCGTTGAAAGTCCGAAACAGGAAACGCCGTCGTTTCTGAACAAGAGAATGTCGTTAGACAGTTGGAATTTCTACCGGAAAAAAAGCAAATCCACTAAATTATCGAGAAAAGACGGAATGCTATTAAACAAAAAAAAGGCGCCGGAAGCGGAGGTGGAGGCTGTGGAGGAAAGGCGGTTGGAACACCGAATAATTATATCCGGCGATGAACCGGAGCTGGGCACGGGAAGTGGGTCCCGGCACCGGTGGAGTGACGTGGAGGGTTGTGATAGGTTGTATTTGAGGTCGGAGATGATATTAAGCGAGAGCCGTAGATATTCAGGGTCGAGAAAACGGACGGCGGAGATGGGGAGTGGCAGAAGGGTAATAAATGAGAGAAGTGTGTCGGAATTGACAGGGATGAGTAGGTTTAGGAGTAATAATGAAGAAGAAAGAGAAAGGAAAGGAGCTGTAAAAAGGTGGTTGGATTGGATTTCTCAATCACAAAATAAATCTGTTTCTCTGTCTGATTCTGGTGCTGGTGCAGCAGCTTCTTCTTCTGCAACTTGATGATAACTCGTATCGTATCGGATGTTTACGTTAAATTAATACGAGTTATGATATAGTTGTGTAAGTTTTTTTTTGTTGGAGGCATCTCTTTTCATGATGAGATGAGGTAGAGTACAAAAAGAATGATGAAATCATATTGTAATAGTAGTAGTTTTGTACTTTAGTTAGTGGAAAGTGAAAGAGTGGTACTAGGAAATAGAATTTTTTTTTGGAATTTTTAAATGTAATTTGGATTAGTGATAAAGACTTATTTGTTCGCATTAAATTTAATGAAGATCTTAATTTGAATGACAAGTGAAATATAAAACTTGATTGTATATTTTTAAAAAGAAATATTACGTGATAATCACCATCGTGATATTCTCTAAAGTAAATATGTACTCTATGATTTTTTATTTGACCTGAAAAAAAATAATAAACATTGTTAATTTATCCAAATATTCATGAGGGTAAATTGTGAAATTTGATGCACAATTCGTGTAAGAATTATTGAGCGACTTCATAGCGTCAATCTTTAGACATATTTAAAGTGTATAGTTAGATGTTTAGAATTAAGCTTCACACATGAGCCTCCAGATATTTTATCCATACCCCGTCTAAAGGTTCGAGTCCCAAAATTACCTTAAGTTCACAATTGACTCTTTTAGAAGTTCCCCTTTTCCCATAATGCTTTGTTGATAAGTACAACAACTACCCCCAAAAAGAGGCAAACTTTCACACTTTCAGCTTCTTTTTACAATGGTTTTTCATAGATTTGAATGGCATACAAGGGTAAGAGTTAAGACCAATAAAACAATATATATTGTTGAGATCACTAAAACACACATGAATAGATTCATAAAAGAAGATTTTACAGAGTAACAACCTAGAACGACCTCTCATGCACAAATCAACGACTCTAAAAAACTCTCTCGATCAACAACTTTACTAATTATGTCAAGATACTGATGCACTAATATGATTATTCACTATTGAGCAAGAGTGTATCTTCGACTTGGTGGAGTTAAAAGGAGTAATCTATATCCTCTCCCAAATAATGATTGTCATAAACAAACAGAAACAACAAGAAGATAATAAGATATTGAGGCGAAACAACAACAAAATAATAAGATATGGAAATTGGAAACCAAAATTAAATGTTTATACAAGATAGGCTTAATATGTTCTTCCATTTATCACTAAATAATTCATAGTTCATAAATACATTGCGAATCATTCGACTTGTTTATCCTTTATAAAAAATGTAAAAATATTAATACAGTATGTAATTCAATTAAGTTCGTGATTGACGAGTGAAGAAGGTTTTTGCATGGATTGTCTTTATTTGAGGTGGAATTTAATTTTTATTCCTCGAATATGCGAGTTTTAATTTTTTTAAATCATTATTGCTCATTTAATAAAAAGTTGTGGGTTAAAATGTTCTTAATTTTGACCTATTTCACTGGCAAAACTAATATTGCGAGACAACACTTTTTAAAGAATATTTATCTTGTAAGTTCGATAATATCTGATTCAATTGGCAAGACTTTTTAAGAGAACTATTGTTCCAGAGTATAACTTGTACTACTGAACTTATGGCTTGGACATAACTTATGTCATTAAACTTATGTCTTGGGCCATAACTTGTGCCTTGAGCTTAATTTCTTTCGCCTTTGAGACATAATTTGTGCCACAACACTTGTGCATTGAACATAATTTATTTTGCCTTTGAGACATAGTAATATCTTTTATATTGAGGTATAACTTGTGCCACTAAACATATGACTTGGGTATCTTTTTCTAAACTTATGTTTTGTGATTATTTTTTCATTCTTTTTGCTATATATATGGACATTTTCGATTAGTTTTTGTTACTTAAAGTTCAGAAGGACAAAAAATTATAGACCAACAATTTTGAGAGGCAAATATTAAAGACCAACATAAAATAGAGACATTTGTGCGAATGTCTCTTCTTCTGATTTTAAACTTGGGCTAATATTAATCTAAATTTTAAGAGAAAACTACCTTATTAGATATACATTCATATTCTATACCATATATACTAACTCTAATTTCTATATATACTTTCAAATAATTATGTATGACGTATTTTACCACTAATTAAAGGTTTCTTATCATATATTGAGGAAGATATATCTATATACATGTATTTTTGTTACCAGATACATTAAAATAGTGAGAGAGGCGAGCGAGATGGGGAGAGAAATAGTCATGTAACTCAGATACATACAAATCACACCAAATACACATTAGATACATGTATATGGTGTGTATCTGGGAAAACATATATAAGAAAGTGGCAAGCGAGATGAGAGAGGGGAACAAGATTTGTGTACGTATTCTAGATATATGAGAATCCATTTGAATACAGTATATCTAAAACAAATTACACCTAATTTTGACTCCATATATTAAGAGGTACATATATCTTAATACACCAAAATCCGATAAGATTCGTAATATTACAAATTAGACCGTATTTAAGTTATTAATATTAAATCTAATGGTTTTGCCACCTATACATATGTCATTGTATATACAACACACATGCATCGACGTAATTTCTTAAAGGCAAATTCCGAATTCAATCAAATTAGGGTAAATCAGAAAGATGTTGAGGCACGTCGGAAATCGAATTCCGGGGTTAGGGCAACGACCGTCGTCGGCGGCGGTGGCGCAAGGGGTTTTCCAGCGGCTATATCATGAAAGAGTGGTGGACCATTACAATAATCCTCGTAATGTTGGGTCCTTTGATAAGAACGATCCCACAGTCGGTACGGGTCTCGTCGGAGCTCCGGCTTGTGGTGATGTAATGAAGCTTCAAATCAAAGTCGATGAAAAGACCGGGAAAATTACGGATGCTTGTTTCAAGACCTTTGGTTGTGGCTCTGCTATTGCTTCTTCCTCACTCGGTACGGTTTTTCAATTCCGAAATCTTTGTTGATCTCTGTGTTTTCTGGGAATTTAGTACTAAGAAAAAGAGATATTGTAACAAGCACACGGAAACTATCACTTTTGTGCGAGTTTTATATCTGAACTATCACATTTATCGTACTACCGGATAACTAAAGGATCACTTTTTTGCGAGTTTCCAAGTGAACTAGGAGGTGCTTCTGTTTGCTATCTGAATTATAACCAAGTATTTATCAAAACTAGCCTCGAATTTAATGAGTTAGCTGTCATGTGGATGAAAGTTTGTTAGAGGTGTGTTTTGATAAATAGTTGGTGCTAGTTCAAGTAGGAAACACAAACACCTGATAGTTAAGGTATGAAATTCACAAAATAGTGATACATTAAGTATGTTTTTGATCATTATCTCTAATTAAATTGAAAAAGAGGAATCTATTTACCCTTTTTCACGTATATGTACTGTTTTTATTGAGCATATGATGCTATTAAGATGAGTGTTGGTGATTTTGAGTTTAATTTTTCCAATTTTCAGCAACGGAATGGGTGAAAGGGAGAACAATGGAGGAAGCACTGTCCATAAAGAACACGTAAGTCCTTTGAACTTTCTTTTCCTTTGTCATTTTTGTGTGTGTTTTAAGGGTACATAGTGTGGTTTGAGATTGTCCCTTTCAGTTTTTTTTCCTGCCTTCCTCAAGTGACCTTAAGTAGTTGAACAGAGCTGATTCTCTTAGTTATACGTCTCGAATTTTGAGTTCCATTTCAAAGAAACCATTTTTATTGTTCCTGCTTCGTCAAGTTTTAGTGAAATGCCCTTCAATTCAATGGTCCTGCTATGTTGTTCTTACCTGGTTCAATACCAATATTGCTTCTGAAATAGTAAAGTGTGTACTCAGTGGCTCCTAAATTGTGTCAGATTACAGTTTCAAAAATACTGTTCTGCAAATTAGCGTTTTAACCAAAGTAGTCGGCTAGCGTAATTCCCCCCCTTTTGGGTGAGGAGGTGTAGTATTAGCTGGCATGCATATTAACCAATAAACTTGGGCATGCTTGTTGACCAACCCACTCGATACATGTTATCTCTCACTAGTACAGGTGTACCTGAGTAATTCTGGTTCCCGAGATTTAAACGAATGAAAAATTAACTTTGTGTCATCTTTGTTGAGATTTGAACCTTATGTCCCAAGGATGTTACTTCAGCTCTTTGGATGCACTGTTTGTGTCATCTCCCTAACAGGCTGAAAAGATTAAGGTTGAACTGCTTGGAGGTTAGAGGTTCTTTATCTTGTATGTGTCGATTCAGCAAAATTGAAGGTTTAACCTTTTTTAGAATGAGGTTATTGCACTGGATATCTCATCCCCACCTGTAACAGGTCAATTAGAAGGTGGCCCCTTAAAATAGGAATGATTGAATTGAGCTTGAGAATTCTTTCTTTCATGAACTTATTAAAACCTCGGAAGAAAAGCTTTTTGAAACTTAGCCGAAAAATACTTACCCAAAAAAGAAAAAGAAGAAAGAAAACTTAGCCGAACAACAAAAACAGAATGCAACAAGTCCTTTGGTTCAAACTTTAAAGGGGAATGTACACTACATGGGTTTGAGTCCTGGTTTGTGTACCAAGTCTAATATTTAAGTAGAAAATGGTAGAGGACCGGGCCTATTATAGACCGAGTTTTAAAACTAAAAATACTCATTTCTTAATATAGTTTAGAGTGAACTTACTTTGAGGAACTGGATATGTGCAACTTTCTTTTGAGAGATAGCAAGTGTATCATTAGTTTAGCACCAAGAAGGTTCAATCATAACTATTTACGGGATACCAAAAGAACTTCCCTTCTAACTCGAGGCTTGGCCAACTTACATCAGGAAAAGAAGCGAGGATTGGCTAACTGGCCCCATTGCTTGTTAGACTATCTGTATGATGCATGTATATTTGCAGTTTAAAGCATTTTACAATCCCCTCTTTGTCCTCGGTTTTGACCCAGTTCTAAAAAGGGTTATTTATGAGAGAATTGATGCTCATATGAAGGACCTGGTGAATCTTAAGTTTAGTACGCGGAGGTTATCAAGTCCAGTCCTGCTAAGTTTAAATTTGATCTATTTCCAATTTGTTTGATAACTTTACTTGAATCTAATGAACAATATGCGTGCTAAATCATGCGGCTATTCTTGTGTCAATGCGATTGTCATTTTACTGAAAGCATATATATTCTTAGAAGACCGGATTTCCCGTGCCACAACTGTCTTTAACCATACTTGTAAGAAAATTGATCCATCTTGAAATCAATTGCTTTTCGAGGATCCCCATGAAAGCGTGTTCTTTCGTTAGGATAGACTACCTCAT